CATCCAACAATATTTCCACCCAATTCCTAAGGTACTGAAAAATACCTTCCCTAAGTGTCCTAATTTTGGGGCTTCCCAGATGGTGCACTGGTAAAGAATCCGCCTGTCAATGCAGGAGACACAGGAGATGCCAATTCAATCCCAGGGTTGGGAAGATCCCCTGGAGGAGGGCACGGTAACCCACTTTAGTATTCTTGCCTGGAAAATCCCATGGACAGAGGAGCCTTGCAGGCTACAGCCCATGGGGCCAAAGAGTCAGACACAAGAGAGCAACTGAGACAAATGTCCTAAGTTAAAGAAAGTGAGAGCCTCAGACAATGCTTCTAGGTTAGGCAACAGACTTCAAAGGAGAGAGAGAGAAAGAAAAAAAAAACGGAAATATGTTTAGAAGCAGCAGCAAAACAGCATCAACAACAAAAAATTTCCCTACTTTCAATGAGATAATGAATGCAAGAATGACTAGAATATGGGTCTAATATTTTCTTTGGTAGAACAGGCTTGGTTTTCAATGTGTACTACCTAAGATATGAGTATAAAACACAAACTATAGACAAAGATAAGCATTTTGCCGAGAAAGCTAAGGTTCTTATTCAGATCCCTTCAGGGAGCTGTGTCCCATCCCTCTAGACTGGCCCAACACCTGGCTGAGACACGTGATGGGATTCGGACCAGACCTGCAGTCCTGGGCTCACCCAGGCTGATGGGGAGAACAGACCCAGGCTGATGGGGAGAACAGACCGGCTCACAGGACCGAGCATCAGGCAAATCAAATGAGGTTACCCGTCTGGAGGAAATCTGTCTAGCTGTGTTACTTGCAAACTCAGAGCAGCAAACAACTGAGACACATCAGTAACAGCGAACAAACTTGTGAGCACCTAGAGGATTCAGTGTGGCACCATAAACATTTGCTGAATGAAGAGGACTGTTAAGCTGGGGGTTCAGTCAGTGCCTGTGAGCCACCTCCAAGCCTCTCCTATTGAAAAACAGACGGGGGTATAAATACAAAAATGGATAATAAATAACCTTCAAACAGCCTACACATACTTCTGGCCACAGCTCTAAGAGCTACCTCACCCCTAAATTCCTGAGCTCATCTGTGTCAGGACTGAGGCAATCAAGTCATGAAAACAAAAATTCTTGGGGAGCGTGTTCCCCCAAACTCCGTAACTAGTAACATCACATTTCTGTCAGGGAAAGAAATTCTACTACTAGTTATTTAATTAGTGTTGTGACCACAGTCCTCCCCCCACCCCGAGGGCAGTGTTTGGTTCTGGCCCCATTCAGCAGGGTGGTTCCAGGATTCTGGGCAGCCAGGAGTGATGTCAGATGTAAGCGGGGGTGGTGCTGTCTCTTCTTCACCCAACTCATGCGAAGTACAAGCCCCGCCTACAGGCTGACTTGCTGTTTCCCACCTCTCTTTAAGTTGCCGCTTGTTTATGTTACTGCACCTTACTGTAAATAATATACAAAATTCTATCTGAAAAGCTTTTTGGACTCAACCAGGCCCTTTGATAAAGACCACAGAAGAGCCAGGAAAGGGCTGTGCTGCCCCGAGGGGGACTTCCTTCTTCCCTGAGCAGGTCTCAGAACCTCTGTCGAGCTTTCATTTCTAGTAAGAATGGCCAAATGCTGCCCACAGCCCCTTCCAGCTCTAACCCACAGGACTCAGTTCTAGAAGCATTTTTTAGCATTACAAGTATGGCTAAGAACTCGTGTAGTACATGCTTGTGTGGTCAGTCAGTCCAGTTGTGCCTGCCTCTTTTAGACCCCACGGGCTGTACCCTGCCAGGCTCCTCTGTCCATGGGAGTCTCCAGGCAAGAATACTGGGGTGGGCTGCTGTGCTCTCCAGGGGACCTTCCTGACCCAGACGTCTCTTACGGCTCCTCTTTACCACTAGCACCACTTGGGAGTACATTCTGCCCTAATTTAAAAGATGCAAATCAAAGTAATTTAAAATAAGTGGGGGAAAAAAAGGCTAGCATATAATTTTGGAACATCAAGGTTATTTGAATATGAAACATCTTGGCCTTTTCCACACCAAATAAAGGAAAAGAGCTTCATCTGTTTAAAAATTTAGAAATATGAGATTTTTAAAAAATTTCCCAATTTCTAACAAAGCGCAGACGTTTCTTCATGGCTTTTTAAATTATGACATCTTAACATCCACATTCCAAACATGCAAAGTCATCTCCTTTATGATGGAGACTTTCACCCTCCAAGAGGAGGTGTGCCCGGAAGGCACCTGACAAGCGAGGAGCCTCGGGGTCAGCGAGGGCCTGGACCCTGACTGAGCGTCTCCCTGGCCCTCGCCCCCCACACCCAGGTTCCGAAGTCTCCTACACAACCCATGCAGCTCAACAAGCAGATAGCAATCCCGTGTCCCCAACACGAGCCACTCGGAAAACTCAAGTTTCTCTTGGGGCCGAGAGGTGACTCCCGGGACTTCAATGTTCCAGCATTAACACGGAAAGAAACTTGCGTCGGGGCAGTCCCAACACCCACCTCCCGCGTTTGGGAGACGCGGCAGCCGGAAGCACGGAACTACCTCCTGTGAGAAGAGGCGGGCGCGTGAGGCGCTCCTTGTTGAAAGAACTCTTACTAAATTAAATCATCGTCGGCATGTTCGCCGTTCTCCCTCCGACCTTAACAGCAGACGTGCAGGAATCCGTATACACTCATGTGTGTTAGTCGCTCAGTCGTGTCCGACTCTGCGACCCCGTGGGCTGTGGGCCATCAAGCTCCTCTGTCCATGGAATTCATTACACTGAAATTTCACAAGCAAAGGACCTCTCTCCGAGGCTGGACTTCCATTCCCAGTCAGACCACGTCCCGCCCCATCAGCTGCCGAGACCCCCAGTGAGTACACATCACCAACAGGTCCACAAGCAAAAAGCACACAAAAGCGCAACATTTTAAAGGTGACAAAAATCTGTACAACTTTAAAATCAGTCTGATTACGAGCCATGGATTTTAGAAACTGTAATTTTTGTTTTATTTTACATGTTTTCATAAAAATGTACACCCTCAATTTTCTAAAAACCACCTTTACCTCATCGAATTTACTTCAGATTATTTTTACAGCAAGAGGTTCCACAGGTAAAGTTTGTCCTTAATTCATCTGTTTCCTTAATGCAGACTTCTAAAACTTACACTTTATGTGACCTGTCTTATTTTACCTAAGAGAGGAAACTTTAGATGATAAAACTCACACAATTTACATTTCCCCCACATATTTCAATATTAGGAACTTTTTGTTTGCAATCAAAGAAGAAAAAAAAGACTCCTGTTGCTCCTCTCTGTCATAGATAGAATAAGATGCCAGTTTCAGAACATATTTTCAAAACAAATTTGTCTAGGACCAAAAAAAACTACAAGACAAACAAATCCATAGAAAAAGATGACATTTATGGCTAAAGTCTGAAAGACAGAGTGGGAAAAAAAGCGTAAAACTCTTCAATGATTTTTATTCCTCAACTACTACATAGATACAAAGAGAATGTGAAACCAGATACATTGCATGTGAAACCTACTTTCAGAAAAATTCCCAGTTTACAGCAGCAGTCTCATTTTTTTCTAGGCATAAAGTTATTATTCGTTCAATAATAAATAGAGAAGGGTAGAAAGATGGTGTAGAGGGCGGGCGGGAGAGCAGGCAGGCGAAGATTTCTGTTGACTACAGCTCAGTTCAGATTCTTAGTATGAAATTCATTCTGACGCTACATCCTCCAAAGAAAGGCCTCCCTGCTCTCCCTGGTGGGCGCCCTGCCCCGCCCCCTTCTCGCAGCAGGTTCCAGGCTGGGGTCGGGGGGCGCGGTGTGCTGGCGGATGTCACTCACCAGGATGCCATGGTAGACACCTTCAGGAACCCTCTCCTCCTCATCTTCACTGTCTCCATCTAAGCAAAACATCGTAAAACTGAACTAGCTCAGCAGCAGCATGTCTTTTTTCAGAGATGAAGCCACGCTTATAAGTTATCAAAACAGAAAGCTGTTCTGCTGACAAACTGAGGGCAAACTGTTTGCCGACACAGTAATAAGGTTAAAACTGAAAGGAAATGGTTCTAAAAAAAAAAAAAGGCAATACAGGCATGACTTTACCAGTGAGATTTGCTGAAAACGCCTCAACCCCATCCCTCTGGAGGAGATAAGCAGGGGCACGGGCCGGGCTGGGCCGGGTGTTTACACTGATAGGTACCAAGTCCTGCCCGGGCACAGGGGCCTCACTGCCCTTCCATCACCCAGGACACGGATTGAGTTAATGATTCCCCAGATCAATCACATCCTCACTTTTAGAAATAAAAGTAACCACACGTACAGAAAAGTCATCTTCAATAAATTAATCATGCAAGGGGAAACAGTTCACCTGTTTTCTAAGCAACAAAGACAGTCTTTAGAACTCAGTCACTGAAATGTTTTCCTCTGTCATACTGGAATGACCCAGTATATTTTCACAGTTCTGAATGGAAGCTAGCCTACTCAGCACTGTAAATAATGAACAAATTATAACCACGTTACTGTACGCTAATGTAGCATTAGTTATATTAATGCAATAGCACACACACACAATAATAATATAATAGTAACAATTTAACTTCAAGAGTAGGACAGTTCAAACATCATGGCATTTTCCTTTCGGCTCTTAATAAGTCAGTATATAGAAACTTCAAGTGAATTTTTCTAAAAACCTAAAACACACACAGACAAAGCACATTAATTTTCAAATTGAAATATACCATATTTTGCAAGCCAGTGTACAGGACTGTGATGTCTGTTACAAATAGGCGTTATCCACATGGATATGTTTAAAAATGTGGCCAGTGCCAACTGAGATGTGCTGTGAACATAAAACACACAGAAGAAAAGCAGAATGTGAAGTAAGGTTTATATCAGGTTACTTATTGATATGAAAATGCTCTGTATATACTGAGTTAAATAAGATATATTTTAAAATTAATTTTACCTATGTTTCTCTTTTTACCTTTTAATGTTACTAGAAATTATGAAATGCCACATGTGGTTCCTATTATATTAATATTTCTACTGGAGCACAACTTTGGGATCCTGAGACAACCTTGAGAACAAGGGCGGAAAGGAATCCATAATGAAGAGCTGAAGGTGACAGGAGTTCTCATCACACTAACTGATCCTCAGGTATTTAATAATGTTCATGTTATTCAACTTTTTCTCTATCTCTAAACATCAAACACAAAATTTCCAAATGTTTGACCAAGGGGGGTGGTGTTGGTAATGTTTAGTACAGCAACAGACCCGCCAAGATACACAAACAAAAATGTTAAATGGCAAAATTTTAAAATTTCACCAAAATTAGAAATAGGAAAATGTATCCTGTATTCAACATGTCGCACTGCCTGCTGCCAAGCCCACCAGACATTCATGTGCAGGCCCAGGAGCTTGTGATCCAAGTCCGTACACTTCATGTACACACCCCGCCCCCCCACAAACTGGAAAAGAGAAGTGATTTTAGGAGTCTGTTACACAACGCATAAAAATGTAGGCCTCTTCCTTCCTCCACATACTGCTGGCAGGCCCGGATCCTCAACATTAGATGGTAAGAATGAACCCACCCTGGGTTGCCGCCCTTGGGAAAAAACAGAAGGAGAAGTGGAAGGTCAGGAGCAGGGAAGTGAGGAGAGATGAGAAAAGAGGGTCCAGAGAAGCCACGAGGAAGATGAGGAGGGGAAGAGAGGAAAGCAGGGCAAACAAGCTGGAAAAGACAAGAAAACACGCTGGTGGAAAAACCTGATCCATTTTACAGGTGAGGAAACTGAGGCCCAGAGAAGTTAGGCAATTTGCCCAAGGCCACCCGCTCGGTCAGCACTGATTTCTGGTCGGTGCTTTTGTTTGTGATGCCAGGTTGAGGCCCCGGGCAGAAGTACTGGGGGAAGGGTCACAGAGAGACAGGGAAGGCGGCCTGAGACAGGTGGGCAGAAGCTGTCCACAGCCTTGACGTCATCGCCTCTTACACAACGAGCCAGCCCCAGGCCAGCCACCCGGGCTTCCAGGGAGCCTGGCTGCTGTCGTCACCGTGAGGTCTGGACCCATGACTCACGGAGGCTCTGACTCAAGGGGCAGAGACCACGGACCCAGACGGAAGCCGAGCTCAACCTCCCAACACCAACCCCCGACAGGGCACACACATCTGCTGCCCCTGACCCCAGGCTGGGACCTGACACTTCACTGACTCGGTGGTGGTGCTTTTCAGACTTGAGTCAATAAAAAGTTGGAAATCACAACCAACCATTCTTAATCACCTCTATGACTATTTTCAAAGAAAACTACTACTGACTTTTTTCTCTACAGGCTAAGATAAGAGTAAATGGTTGAGCATTGAGAAAAACTACTTTTTATTATTACCTAGCATCTTCAATAAGCTTAAAAACAGGAGGGTCAGTTGGAAGTCTTTTTTCCCTAAGACTTAAATCTTTCAAGAAAAAAAAAAAACTTCTTGAAATCTAGCATAGGGACATAAAACTAAAATGCTGGTCAGGAGAGTCAGAATCTTATTCAGATTCCATAGCTGATGACACATGTAAAATATATACCTTCTTTATTTTTTTCCACTACTAATCCCATATAAGTATGGGAGCAGGTATAAAGTACTTAACAAAGCATAAGAATTTAAAATTTCCTAACATGAAATTTGCTAATTGGTTAAACAGAAATATCTTTATGCCACAAGTTATAATCTGTTTTTAACACAAACATGAAAATATTGATACGCAAACGACTCCCCCAAGTGGCCATAATGTGGAATAGCAACATACTGAATTACCAATGAAGAGGGCTTCCCTGGTGGCTCAGTGGTAAACAATCTGTCTCCCAATGCAGGAGATGTGGGTTCGATCCCTGGGTGGGGAAGATCCCCTGGAGAAGGAAATGGCAACCCACTCCAGTATTCTTGCCTGGAAAATCCCATGGACAGAGGGGCCTGGTAGGCTACAGTCCATGAGATCACAAAGAGTGGGACACCACTAAGCAATTAAACAACAAACCAATAAAGAGGTGAGAAAACTTTTTTAGAAGTTTTCATTAGTATAAATGTATGATGAAAATATCTTTTTAAGCCTCAGTTACAAACAGTTCATGACCTCCGCCACAATTACCCTACACTGAAGGAATTAACTCAGGTGCACCGCTGCATTTTCAAGGCCCCTCATGGCAGAGATTGAAACATGAAAGGACCACAGACTACACCAATGCATAAGACGTTTTTCTTTCCATATTTGGAATTACTTATAATTAACATTTGCCTAGGAAAACAATCCAAAAGGGACTGATAACACTTTCTTCAAAGACAGGAGAAAATCTGGATACTACACTTGAGGTTTTCCAAACTTTCCTAGTTCAGCCATTTATTGGAGAATGGCCATCCAGTCTACTCAATTTCCAGTGTTTCACTGTGTCCCACACACCCAACTGCCAAACTCTAAACAGCATTAGCTAGTGGCAGTTTTCACCTGAGCTGTGAATGAATGAATAATCAAACATAAGCAGGTCTTTTCAGGAACAGAGGAGAAAAAACAGAAGGGTCTCCTGAGGGCCGAACACCCAGCTTAAATCGACTCTCCCAACAATAATCTTGATAACGTACATCTTACATTTAAAATTCAACATTTTTACAGTCTACTTTGAAACGTCCATTTAATTTTTTTTTTAAAGGCTAACTCGTCAAAGTTTTCTTCTACCAATTTCAGGGGTTAAGGTACCATAGTTACTGAACAAATGGTCTAGAATGTCCTCAGTGAACATCCCAGTTTAAGGAATTTGGGACTAAACCACCTCTGAGCTCTAATACTCTGACACTAATGCTTCTCAGTCAAACTAACCCAATACTTTGAGACCAGAATACTACTTGTCTGCAGGAGTCAAGTGTGTGACCGTTAAGAGTAAAGCTTAAACAGCCCAACGGAAGATCAGAGAACCATGGCTTCACTTGTGTCCCACATCCTGACGACACTTTCAGGAAAATATAGCCAAATGGGAAAGCCCAGGGCAGCTGCCTCACTTGCAGGTATGTGTCTGTGTCCTGCTACTCACAACTGTTCCTGTTTAAATGTTTGTCTTTCTAGTCCCCCTCTCACCCCATGGACAGTAGTTTGCAATGGTCCTGCCCCCATGGCGACATGCAGGGGCAAATCCCTAAGAATAATAAGCAAGCTTCTGCATGAGGACTATGTCTCCCCATTTCACTCACACTCTAGAAATCCCCGTTGAAAGTCCTATTACCAAATTCAAAAAACTGTACATAATTTAAGAAGTGTGGTTCTTTAACCTTTTAGTAACCAATTCTCTGCTATAGCCTGACAGCCGGCAGGAGCACACAGCGCACCCGGCAGGTGCCGCTGGGGGTGCGGGTGGGGAGCGGGGCGCAGGCTGCTCCATGCGGGATGGCTTAGAGCGCGCCGGGGGAACTAACGGTGAACAAGGCCCGATGGTGTCGGTAACACAACCCGGAGAAGCACAGGAGAAAAGGTCACAAATTGTGATCGGTATCCTGTAGGGGCCCGTGTCAGTCAAGTTCACGTGCCTCTGGTTCCGTACAACGTTTCTCACTGAAGATCTTCTGGACCACTTGAGAAAAACTGGGGACAGTTGTTTTAATTATTTTCATTGCTGCAGTTTCACCTCCTTCAAAAAATTACTTACAGTTTTCTTTGCTTTAAAAGTATTGGTGATTAGCTGGTACTCTCCTTCCTGCAGTCTCCCATCTAGAGAAATGAGCTGCGACCGTGGCGCTGAGTAAGTACTCAGAAGCCAGGAACTCAACAATAATCACCTGGATATGCAGTTTCTTGGGGGGAAAGTAAAAATTCTATCACACGTAAAATTCATACAAATAATAAGTACACTAGGATTTCAAGAGACAAGTGCACAGAGGACAGACTGTCACCAAGAGCAAGAACCTGCTCACGTCTTACATGGAGAAGCCAGGAGGTACATGAGGGCCTGTCTGACCCCAGAGTCTCTGCTTTTAACTGTATTGCTGGTGTTTAATTCACAACTTGCTTACTATTATATTAGCAGGCTTAAAGAAAATACCACCCAAGCCGCTGGGATTATCATTTTAATAAAGAATCCTCACGAGTGCTGATCAGAGTCACCCTACAGGACAGATGCTCTGCAGGATCAAATGGGCTTCCAGTGGAGTCTGGAAAACCCGCCTGGTTTCTGTGGTCAGTCTGCTCTCCCATTTTCTGTTTCTTTTTCAAACTTCTATGTTTCTCAGCCTGACTGCATTCCCATCAGCCCTACCTCCCCATGAGAACACACAGGATCTCTTCCTGTATGCAGGTTCATTTGTGTTCTTCGGGAAATGAACGGCAAACAAGGCTTAAAACACACTGCTATGAGAATAACTTGAGGAATTTACTTTCAGTTGGAACATTCTAATGCTATGTTTAAGTCTGTTATCAGAGTTTATTTAGCCAGTGAAATTTAAAATAAAATTAAAAATCAGAATTCCGAGATTACTGTCTTTCAGAGGTTGGATCTGCCTCCTTCAATATAAAGCTCCCCTAAGACGAATTTTTTTTAAAAAAAGTTAAAAATTGCAGTACTGATACCCAGTTATATTACACACACACAGAAGAACTCAATTCCAAGATGGCAGGAGTAGTTGCACTTTCACTGAAGGTAAAGCTGTGTGTCAGCTTTGCTACTGAGAGGTTAAACGTTAACATATCTAAAATTAAACGCTGCAGTGTCTGGGCACAGGTAGGATCCAAGAAAGCACAGAGGCATCTGAAAGCAGCAACATCAGAAGAAAAATACCCCTCGTATAAGTATACGGCAACTACCGAAACAAAAAATGAGCATGACGTTTTGCTACAATCTATTTCTCTTACAGACTCAACATACTTTATGAGACTCTCTAAGGAAGAGGATATGCATGAGACAAGTGCTCGGGCCTGGTGCACTGGGAAGACCCAGAGGCATCGGGTGGAGAGGGGGGTGGAGAGGGAGGTGGGAGGGGGGGCCGGGATGGGGAATACATGTAAATCCATGGCTAATTCATTTCAATGTATGACAAAAACCACTGCAATGATGTAAAGTAATTAGCCTCCAACTAATAAAAATAAATGGAAAAAAAAAAAGGAAGAGGATATTTACTTTGTGTAAAAATCACTAGCCTTTGCAACAAATTAATTTTACTAATGCTTTTAATGTATATTTTAATCACAAAAGTTCTGGATGTGAAAAGAAATCAGCAAATAAAGGTAATATAAGCTAAACATTCATGACAAACTACGTAATACACCAGTATTTACACTGAAACCATACAAGAAAATACAATACTGGCAACCTAGCATTCTTTCTCTAAGTATTTAACTCTGAGTTACACTCTGGAACTAGTCCTTTGCAAGCATTATCTCTGATCTATGCACTTCTGTGCAGAGAGATTTGCTTTATCCCTGTACTTTACAGATGAAGAAATAGAGGCTCAGAGGGAGCTAATTTTTTTAAGTGCCAAATCCAGGTTCAAACCCCAATCCACTTATTGAAACTTCAAGATGTCTCCATCGTAACTTCTAGGACATAACACAATTTGGAATTCAAATTTGATGTGCTAGGTATTTTTAAAATCTCAAATACAATAAATCTAAAAGAATAAGATATTTAGGAATAAATTTAGCCAAGGAGGTGCATATTTGCATATTTAAAATCACAAAACATTGCTAAAAGAAATCTAAAGTGACTAAAGTAAATAGTATAAGGAAACAGAATTTAAAGTGACTAAAGTAAACAGCCTCACGTTCATGGCTACAAAGACTTAATATTGCTGAGATGTCAATACTACCCAAAGCCATCTTTAGATTCAAATCAATCCTATCCCAACAGACCTTTTTTTTTGGCTGAAATAGAAAGTCTATCCTCAAATTGACATAGAATTGCAAGGGGCCAAAACAACCTTGAAGAAGAAGAACAAAGTTCGTGCGTGATTCCAAATCTTGTTATAAAGCCACAGTAATCAAAACAATGTGGTACTGGCATAAAGACAGACATACAGACCAACAGAACAGAAACCAGCATCCAGAAATACACCCAAACATCCAAGGTCAATTGTTTTTGACAAGGATGCCAATTCTATTCAATGGGGAAAGAACAGTCTCTTCAACACATGGTGTAGAGACAACCCCAACTCCAGAGCCTGTCTGTCTAACCATACTGTAGGTGTTTAATTCACATATACAGAAGACCTATTGTCTAAGACACTTCTTACAGAATAACTAGCTCAAAACAGATCAAAGACCTAAATATAGGAGGTTAATAGAACCATGAAACTCAATGATTCTTAGATAACATACCAAAAACATGAGTAAAGAAAGATAAATTGCATTCCATCAAAATTTAAAAGTTTTTTCCCCTGTATCAAAGGACCTTATCAAGAAAGTTAAATGACAAACTACAGAATGGGAGAAAATACCTGCAAATCACATATCTAGTAACAGTTTCATGTCCACAATATGTAAAGAACTTTTGTACAACTCACCAGCATAAAGGAAACCCTATCAAAGTATCAGCAAAAGACCTGCACAAGCATTTCTCTGAAGATACACAAATGGCCAGTTAAGTACATGAAAGATGCTTAACATGGTTAATCACTAAAGAAATGCAAACAAAACCACAAAGAAATACCACTTCATACTTATTGATGGCCATTTTCAAAAAACCAAACAGAAAAGCGTTGAGGATGCAGGAAAACCTCGCCAGTGTGTGGAGGGGCAGCATCTCTTACCCATCCCCACCCCCACCCCCCACCGACTCCAACTCATCACATAATGTCAGTGGCCATCTCCCCAGCCAAGACAACCAAACATGTCTCCCTCATTTCTGAGTGTCCCCTGGGAGCAAAATCCTTCCAGTTAAGAGCCACGGTTTATCTAGATGGCATGTGGCCCTGTATTTATGCACTGGTTCTGGTTAGGCACACAGCTTGGGCTCTGAATTTAGGCAGTCTTAAATGATGGCTCCACAGCTTCCCAGGTTCTGTGACACGTAACCATCCTGAGCTTCAGTCTGACCAGAGCCCCACACGACTCCCCCCCGCCCACAGAGCCGGGATCACAGCAGTGTCCACCAGGGGGGACTGTTTCCAGAGTTCAAGGAGCCCAGAGTCCTATGTAACTGAGCAGGACCCTGTAGGGCCTTCCAGGGACAGACCCCGTCCCCATATGCAGGAGGGGAGCTGCCTAGAAGTGCCTCTCTGAAGTGCCTAGATAACAGCATCTGATGTTTCAACACAACATTTCCTGACTTGTTTTACAGATGCTGAAACCTCCACCAAATGGAAGAAATTAACCACCTGAGGCCATGAGCAGACAGCCCCCAGACCTCCTGGAGCCGAAGGACTGACAATGTTACCCATGCTGTCACCACACCATCAGCCAGTCAGAGAAGCGTGCACCAGCGAGGACACACTCCCTCTCCTTGCCTTTAAAGATGCTTTACCAAAAGCCACGGGGAGTTCAGCTGTTTTGAGCACGAGCTGCCCTGGACCCCCTGCTTGGCGCCCTGAATAAACACTGCCCTTTCCTTCACCACAACCTGGTGTCAGGAGACTGACTTCACTGTGTGTGGGTGAGCAGGCCTGAGTTTGGTTCAGCAACAGTAGCACATGGACACTACTAGGTACTTAACAAGTATGAGTCTTCTTCATTCATTAAAAAACAACGTACAGACCGTCCGCAACTTATAATGGTTTGGTTTGTGAATTTTTAACTTTACAATGGTTCAACTTATGACTTTTCAGCTTTATAATGGTGCGAAAGCAATATGCATTCAGCAGAAACCTTACTTTGCATTCTGAATTTTGATCTCTTCCCAGGCTAGGGATCTGCCGGCTCTACGATCCTCTCTCGTGCACTGGCCAGAGGCAGCCCAGCTGCCAGCCAGCCGCCCGATAGTGAGGGCCAGTGACGATACACTTACAGCCATCCTGCACCCAGACCACCATTGTGTTCCTCACTTTCAGGACAGCAACCCGTCACATGGAACAGTCAGCACTTCACGGCACAGCAGGCTCTGTCAGTTGATCCTGCCCCACTCTAGGCTAATGGAGGTGTTCTGAGCACGTTTAAGGTAGGCTGGGCTGTGATGCTTGGCAGGCGAGGGGTGTATTACATGTATTTTTTATTTAGGATGCTTTCAACTTAGGATGAGTTCATCAAGATGTAACCCTATTCTTAAGTAGAGGGAGCTCTGTATTGAAAAGACCTGGGTCACACAGGAGCCTAACAGGTGATATCAGGCTAGGACCCCTGCCGTCAAGGAGCCCACTATTCACTGAGGAACACAGGAAAGTAAACAAGTGACCTATGACTTAACTCCCACTTCAGTCAATAGTTCTTCTAAGCTTTCATTTTAGCTTCCCAAACCATTTCCTGCTCCGTAAGGCCCACCCAAGTGAGGTCTACCCTTCAGCCTATTTGTGCAAATAGTATGTGAGTCTTAACTCAGAGATTCCAGCCCCAAAGAGTCAAATTAGGGCTGACCTGGGTCAGAAGAGCCTGAGAGGTGTAGGCAAAGGTCTTCAGGTAGGAAGGCTGGATCCAGCTACTCACAGACCTGCACCCCCCACCCCCCGCCCTGCACCCTCGTCCATCCTAGACTGGCCTCCCCAAGCAACGGGAAGACATTTTCCCCACATATTCCCTTCTTCCAAGTTTTGGTGTAAAACTGCTTAGTCACCCTGACACGTGACCTAACTATTTAACGTGAATGCTCACCTTAATCACTGCTGAGGGGTGCGCAACAAACCAATCCTATTTTTGTACCATTGTCCGGCATGTCATTAGTTTCTTTCTTCTTTAAATTTAGGTGTTACACAGGATAAAAGCCAGTATCACTACTATGCAGTCACAACTCAAACAGTACAAAAGTAGCTGTGATTCATTTCTCTCACTTGCCTCATCCACCAGGTTTGCTCTGAATGAATTCTGGTTATTTCCATAAGGGTAAAGATCTTCCACCATTGAGTATGAAGAGATGTATTTCAAGACTGAAAGCAATTTTAAAAGGATGGGGTGTTCCCAAACGTGTGAGAATGACAGCGTTGCTGACATGCAGATACTGCCCCTGGACTGAGCGGGCTTTTCTGCTCATTCCTTCACAGACACTGTTTGCAGGAGTGTGAACAGATTCCTTATCAGCCATCTAACGGAGTGCAAAACTAAGAACTTGAGGTAATCAGAGCTTATGGATGAATTTTAGATCTTATTANGTATGTATGTACGTATCTATGCAGCAAGTTCCTCACACACACACAGACACACACACCCCCAGAACGACAGAACCCCACCCCACCAGCTGGCTTCACAGAGACCTTGCCACAGGCACCAAGTTCCGTACATTTTCCAGGAACGCCGAGGCCGACTGTAAACCACTGCGTGAGAGGTGACAGCTGCAACACTTCACAAGCGTGCACAGTTCATTTCTGAGGCCTGTATTTCTCTAACAAATTGAAAGGAGCATTAGGGAGGTCAGAGCCACAGCCCTGGCCATCATCAGATGCCGAGCCCTTGTGCGGGAACGGATCTCACCTGGTTTCAGAGAGCCGCGATGCGCTCCGGTGCCACAACCCTAACTTCTGCCGCATAAACAATGAGACCAGCCTGTGTCTCTGCCTCGATCACCTTTCAGTGACTCCTGCGGTGGAGAGGAGGGTTCTCCTCATGACTTGCAGCACAACAATTAAACGAACAAGAAAAAAAAGACAAGCACCAAGCCATCAGCTCAGTTAACTGATGTCATGACTGTGGCCAAAAGGCCTCAGCTCCCATAAAACAGACAGCCGCAGGGGCCTGCGTTTCACTCTCAGAAATGCAGCCCTGGTATCTCAGAGGGAAGTCTTTCAGATCGGGAAGCACAAATTCACCACTTCCTCCTCTTCTTTTTGGAACCACCTGGGGACTGTCAGTCTCAGACAGCACGTGGCGATCAGGAGGCTGGGAGGCAAGGCTGTGGACTCCCAGGCAGCCACCCAGCTCTGGCATCCCAGGCTGCAGCTGCAGAAGGCCCCGGGGAAACCTGGAAGAGCCTTCCAGCTAGGCCAGTGCAAACACGACTCAAATTTCACGTCCCGCTTGACTGTGCACTGTGCTTACCGCGGCCCCGGGGGAGTTTTCAGACATGTCAGGAGGGGCCATCCCTCTCCGGGCCCTGGGTGGACAGAGAGAGCAGCTGTGGCCAGCGCCCCCTCCTCCCCCACCCCGCCCCGGGGAACACAAGCTCCTTCACGGAGAGAGAGGATTCCCAACAGCAACAGCGGGTCAGTGAAGCAGCGTTTGTAATGTTGGAAACCAAACAAAGCCTGTTTCCCACATTGATCTGTTTAAAAACAGCATCTACTTGGACGTGCTAATCAATGTTCGATTCTGAGCTGGGATCAAGCAGTGAACTTGGCGGACCAGGCACCTGCCCACACAGCACTTATACTCTAACGCTAAGGGGAGAGAGAGACAAAGACAAAGACGATGCTAGACCAGGATAACGACTATGAGGGAGGCCAAAGCACGCAGGGAGGAAGGAATGGAGGGGGTGACTTCAGGTGAAAGCCTCAGCCGGGAGGCAGCACAGGACCCCCGGACCGCGCTCACCTAACACGCAGGGACAGACTTCGATTCACTCTCACAGGACTCTGCGGCTGCTCTTTCTTTAGGCATTTTGCCAACCTTCAAATTACTGCAGAGTCAAGGCCGGAGTAGAAAATGAGGTGACTCAGATGCCAAGTTATAAAACATTCAGGAAAGCAGTGGAAATGTTAGCAGTCACAGTCTGAACAAAAATCTGCAACTGCAATCGAAAAATTGCTTTCCGAGAGTGGTTTTCTGATCTTCAGTGAAGACGGATGTGACTAAAAGCATCTTTTAAGAGGTTACAATAACAGGACACGCTATTGACACAGAGGGTGTTACCTGATCAACACTCCCTCTTGAAACTCATTCTTCTGAGCTAACTGTGACCCAGGGTAAGTCGATGTTCGAACCCTCAACATGTCACAACTCCACCTTATCTGGAAGCAGGATGTTTACAGAGGTTAACTGAGTTAAAATGCAGTCATCAGGATGGGCCCTAAACCAATGACTGGCTCCCTTATAAAAAGGGGAGACCTGGACAAGGAGACACACACAGACACACACCCGGGGAGAAGGCCACGAGAACATGAGGAGGAGATCACAGTGCTCACCCACAAGAAATGCCAAGGCTGGCACCTAACCAAGAGAGGCGGCCCTGGAGGAACCATCCTGCTGACACCGTGACCTCGGACCCGCGGCCTCCAGAACTCTGAGACAGCACGTGTCTGGGTCTAGTTCATCATTTGCGGCACTTTGTGATGGCAGCCCTAGCACAGGAATCCACTCACCAGGTCAACAGGAAGAAACACAAGAGGAGTAACCGGCAAGTACAAAAAGCATGGTTAGAGGAAGTGGAAGATGTCATGCTTTTGAAAGATGAAAGATGAATGCAGGGGAAAAAAAGGAGGATCACACAGTCAGAAAGTGCTCAGAAGCTCTGCTTGGTGGGGGGATGTCAGAAACCACGACAACTACAAGAAAACTTCCGAGTCAAAATCATGATTTTCCAAACTGAACGTTCCCACGGGCGTCTCAGACAGGAGGGGCAGCACCCACCTCCCGGCTCCACGGGAGGCGGTCACGACGGGAGGGGCCCTTGACCTCCAGTAGCCCTCCCTGCACCTGCCCAGCAGGAGGGCAGGCCCGAGGCAGGCGAGGGGTCCGGAGCTCTGTCAGGAGCTGGGGGCCTGACACACACGCCAACACAACTAACTCTGGAGAAGACAAAGACTGGAACTGCTGAACAAACAGGATCCTTGCACAGGCTTGGCTCTGAACCATATTCAGTCATGAAAACATAAACACCGAATATTGAGAAAATACATTGTAATACAGTTATGTTGGGAGGATGGAAGGAAATGTAAGGAGGGTTATACAGGAGATGAATCTTCACCTCACACACCAGAAAGTCACTTTCTCTGAGAAGGGCTCCAATCAGAAAACCAGGTTATCGAGGTGCAAGCATGCGCGTGTGTGCACTCACACACACACGGATCGAAGTCCCACACAAAACAGGCAGAACAGTTGAAAGGAGTTGCTTTCAGGAAGCCGTGATCAAGAGTGAGAAAGTATTCAAAGTACTATTTCAATTTTTAAACTACATATAAAAAAAAATAAACTACATATAAATATATATATATACACACATATACTTTAAAATGTCTTAAGATGGAGAGATTTATTATGTGATGCAGCCTTATAAAAAAGAACCTTGTTTACTGGAATGCAATCTACTAGAGAAAAGAGAAATAAACACCAAGCACGTAGGAGCACTGTGAGGTTTTGTTTTGCTTGGCTTTTAATTAGGAGAAGCTCTTTTCCAACTCTCAGCATCAGCCCTGGTGGTCCATTTGAGATTTAGGTACTTCTCATTAACAAGATCAAACAAACGAACCAGGAAATTTAAATAAAGTAGTCAGCAACAGAATTTTCTTTTAATTAAGCGCTCATCTGCAGTGTATATTCCAAGTACAGAAGACAGCTCTGCTTTGCAGATACAGAGACAAGGCTCTCCCTACAGGCCCGGACAAGATTCACACAGCCAGAGCAAAAATGATGGCAAAAATTCCAAGGCTTAAATTTGTAAATGTACATAGTAC